CTTTGCCCGACTGTCCCATTCACACAAAAAACAGCAAAACTTTGTGTAGCCTAGCTGCAGCCCAAGTAAAAGTGCAACAACTTTCAAATCGCCACAAATATGCCATTGGTGCTTATCGTATTTTATGCATGTCAATAGGTACTTCATATTGTCATATGATTCTTTCATGTGAACTGCATACCCTACAGGAAGAGATGGTAAAATATTTCCAATATGCAATAACACTGCCTTTAAACTCAATGTTGAACTGTCTATAAAAAATCTCCATCCTTCTGGGTTATAGTTTATATTTAAAGCCGCCAGTAAGCCGTTAATGTTACTGCAGAAAACCAAGTTATTCTCCATATTGAAAAATGGTTCTAAGTCTTTGTGGCGTTTACGAAAAACACATACCGAAACATCGTCTTCTAACAAGTTCCACTGCTGTAGTCTTGATCCAAGTAACTCTGCCTTACATTTTGGAAGTTCTAAATCTCTTACAAGATCATTTAATTCTGACTGTGTTATTTTGTGCGGTTGGTGGCATGACTTGCTCAGTATAAAATCAGGATCTTTTGACGTTGATGGCATATCTTCTTCCTGACGAATCACTCGATCGCCATGATCTAATTCGTTTTCTGATTCGCAAGTGTAGGATTCTGGGGGTTTTGGAATATGATTTTCGTCACTGTGAGGCACAGGTCTCATCGCAGATGGGTAGTTAATAACCGATTTTTTTTTCTTGGACATGCTTGTGGCTTGTCCAACACAAGGTACCATGCAAAAGTAACAATCAATAATATGATTTGTAGGCTCTCTCCAAACCATTGGGACAGCAAAGCGCATAGACCGTTTTTTGCCATTTAACCAGTTCCTCAGACTTGAAGCAGATGTGGGGTGCCCACTGTTTGTCTTGATCACCTAGTTTACAATCGAAATAAAGCTGATATGCCTTTGTTATTAGTGGAGTAATAGACCGTATCTGAGACGCAAAAGTCACATCACCACACACGTAACAAAACTGATCTGGATTGTTTACACACTTTCGAGACATCTTGCATGAACGCTGTCAGCCAACTGAGGAAAAAATGGCTTATATAAAACAATGTAATGTACACGTATGTATAACGTAACACAATCATGCCGATTACATCATCTTTCCTTGCCGAATATAAAAATGTAGCGCGTGCATTCTTGTGAATTATAGTATATTAACACTGTCACAGCAGGAACACATATAATTACCGTATCTCTAAAACTAGAACTAATATTGAAAAAATAAGTTGCATTCCGGTTTTAGCACATTAAAAATAGTAATATTTTGTTGATTTCATTTAGGATATTTTTTGGCTGTTGATAAGTGTTATCAGTGCGATCTCGTGAACGTGTTATGTTTTACCTTATATTGATACCGATTCCCTATTATATGACAGTATTGAAATTTGAATAATATGCAGACTGTAACAGAAGTTTGTAACGCATCAAATAGCGAATGACTCAACTATTTTTTTTGAAAATTTGAATAGTATACCTTGTTCTGGGATATTTGTCATTAAAAAAATCGCAAACTTCTTGCTGTGTGCGTTGACGAAAAATTGTAGCTTTGGCAACATCGCGGATAACATCAACGGATCCGCCGTAGTTTCAAACCAAAACTTACCAATTTTTGAAAAAATTAGATGAGTCATTCGACGCCTTCAAAACTTTTGTTACAGTCCGTATATTTATTATTTGCCTAGTTTTAGTTTCAAATTTGATTCTCACCATCGAGATCTCGGAATCGGTAAGAGATAGGAAGCTATTTATATGAGGGCAACTTTATTTTTTCTTATAGACTCAATTTTGGATGTGTTCACAGGTGAATGTCGTTCTTAATTCCGATTGCAAACATTTTAATATGTCAAACCTTAAAGTTGCCTAACATCAGTTATTAAAAAAAAAATCCTGAGCAGACCTTGAAATTATCATATAGTTACCTGTTTTATACCATCAGATAAGCATTGCTTCAGTTTTTTATGAAGCAGGCATAGGTGAATACTTCCTGTTATCGATTTTAATGACATAACATTATACAGGTTGATATACCGTCTAAAAAAGTAATCTTCCTATATTTGGTCTTAACTTACCTTAACTTATTTAGGAATAGCATTGAAAAAGCCTCAATGGTGTTGCAGCTATCTGTTATAATCAATCTGAATATCCTTTAAAGACGCTTTTCAAAAACTGAAGCATTGACGATTAAATCACATAAACTGCCACTTTCAAAGCCAACTATGAAAATATTATTTTTTTTGAAATAACTTACTTTGACAGTATCAATATAGGTCATGTTATATATCGCGTTTTCCAATAGGGACTTGACAACTTTGAACTTTCACTGTGAACGCACCTTTGAATCAATGACCGAACTGTCGCTGTCAAAACATTCAGTAGAGAAAACATTTTCATCATGGAACGAACAACACTTACAAATATTAAAATTTACTACCGTTACAGTCAACGGAGATCGCTACAGAGACATGTTGCAACGTTATTTTTTTGGTCAATTGGATGACATATGTGGTTTCAACAGGACAGTGCCACAAGCCATACAGTGGGTGAAACAATCGACATATTAGAATCAAAATATCCCAAATGGTTTGCGTTTTATTTAAAAAGAAAGTTGTCAAGTCCTTAATGAAAAATCCTTTATTTATGAAATCGGAATTAAAAACTCTATTCACGTGTTCCAAAATCCAGTATTATGTCATCCCTAAGAAAAAATGAATTTGATGAGTAAGGGTAAGAGATGAAACAAATAATTATGCCACCTTGTAGAAAAGAGAAGGCGGCAATGCTAATGTACCTTTTCTTTTGAAATTCCATTTTAGGTAATTTCACAAAAAAGTGAAGGCGATTTTGAGCAATTTCGGTTCCTTTCATCTACGAGCACCTTCCCACTTCAGTTGGCCCAACTATTGAAATCTTAGTTTTTTTATTATCAAACACAAATAATAAAAATGTAGCAGGGGGTTATAGGTTTAAAATATTAACAATGAATATTTTGATAATAATATACAGGGTTATCCAAATTAAGTGTCCACCATTAGTAACTTTGTTATTAGTGAAAATACAAAGTTGTTTGAATTAGCAAACTAGTAGCATTTTTAACGCTGGTAAAAATGAGAAATAAAAAAAACAATTGAGTCGTTATTTTGATTTTTTTCAGTAAAATAACATTTTTTTAAATGGAAACCCCTGTATATTATATTTTTTTCTGTTAAAGCATCAAATTTTAAACAAAAAAGTTTACAATAACTTTTCTCCTAGGTTACAAATTGTTGAAGTTATGGCCTCCAATCTGAAACAATTAAATTGTATCGACAAACTTTATTTTCAACATCAACTTATAATCTTACAAAATACAATAACAATTTTTTTTAAAGAAGATGCTCGAAAACACCACCTTGTTCTTCAATACATTTTTGGGCACGTTTTTCAACTGCTCGAACTGTCTTAAGTATGGTCCTACCATCTATCTGGGTTATCTTTTCCCTAACTGCAGTCTTTAACGCGTCAAGGTTATCGTACCTTCGCTTGTAAATTTGGTTCTTTAAGTAACCCCACAAGAAGTAATCAAGTGGGTTTAGATCTGGTGATCTGGGAGGCCACTGTATTGGGCCATTTGTTCCTATCCACTGATCATTAAAAGTAGTACTTAGAAAATGATAAGTACCTCTGGAGTTGTGGGCAGGTGCGCCATCTTGCTGAAAATGCAGATGATGTCTACTTATAAGATCCAATTCGTCTAAGAAATTAGTCAGAATTTCTGACATAAATTCCACATATCTTTCACCAGTTAGGGTTCCCTCATAAAAGAACGGGCCAACAATTTTTGAACCAATTATACCGCACCAAACGTTGAAACTGAAACGGACTTGTGGGCCTCTTGGATGTACTAACAAAAGATTTTCTCTTGACCAATAATGGTGGTTTTTTCTATTAAACATTCCAGAATTTGAAAAATTTGATTCATCTGTCCATAAAAGGTAACGAAAGTTATTTACATTTTGGCGACAGAAGCTAAGATACCAATGGCAAAAAACAAGTCTTCTCTCTGGATCCCCTGCCAAAAGCGTTTGAACTGGTCGGTGCTTATACGGAATAAATTTGTATTTTTTTAAAATCCTTTGAACAGTACCATAACTGAAATTAGAGTCCTTGAGAATATCTGCTATTGAATTCTCACGATAAGCTTCAAAATATCCAATAACTGCAATTTCCTCGCTTATTATGAATTCTTTTTTTGCCCTTGTTTTAGCAAAAACATTTTCGTTGCCCCTAAATTTTCGATAAAGTCTCAGAAAATATCGTTCATACGGTTGAATGCGAGTGGGATATAATTCACTGTAGTATTCTCTTGCTCTCAAGGAGGATTTTCTGCACACTAAATAGCATTCTAACATATCACACTTTTCTTCATGGGAGAACATTTTTCTTTAAATTAATGACACAATAAAGCTTATAAACAAGTATTTACACTAATGTTTGACATTATTTGATTTTATCATTGTTTTCCAAAGCCTTCTAGTTGCGAGTATGTCCAGTTTAACAATTTGTCGCTTATCTTAATGCTGTCAAATCGCGAACGTCATGTTGTTTTCATAGCCGTCTTAATATTATAATACTGCAAATAATTAAAAATATTTATCGTTATTTTAACTTTATTTTTGACTTTAGCGGAAAAGTCATTATGAACTTTTTTGTTTAAAATTTGATGCTTTAACAGAAAAAAATATAATATACAGGGGTTTCCATTTAAAAAAATGTTATTTTACTGAAAAAATCAAAATAACGACTCTCAATTGTTTTTTTTTTATTTCTCATTTTTACCAGCGTTAAAAATGCTACTAGTTTGCTAATTCAAACAACTTTGTATTTTCACTAATAACAAAGTTACTAATGGTGGACACTTAATTTGGATAACCCTGTATAGTAGAAAACACCACTTTATCACTCCCTAATCAAATTTGCAGCATAAAAATAACACATGTTGCAATTACAGCATATCAACCTATTTTCATTTCAATCCAAATAAGTCTATAACGCATAGGTGACTTCCCCCTCAAAGGTGAGAGTTGAATTGGAAACATCGCATATGATACTAGCATATATTATTTATGTTTCTAGTTGAATTTGTTTTCAGAGAAAGCCTGACAACTACAATTATCACAAAAAAGTTGCTTTGTGATTGCGCCAGGGTTTTCAAGAATGAAAGGCATCTAGACAGGCATTGGAGGCAGTATCATTCTCTTGGAGGGCAGCTGACAAAGCCGCAAGAAGTACAGAACGCAAAAAAATTGCTTTGCGAATATTGCGCCAAGAGTTTCAAGCACGAAGGTCGTCTAGACCAGCATTTGAGGAAATGCCATTTACTAGGAGCAGATAATCTGGCTCTCGTCTGTGGCAAGTTAGTGCAGCTGACAAAGTCGAAAGAGATAGAGAATACCAAAAAATCTACAGACAAAGAGAGACCTTGGAAATGCGCCGATTGCCACAGAATTTTCAGACACTGCGGCATCCTACAGAAACATAGACGGGAGTTTCATTCAGAAGCAGCAGATATACCAGATCTTATCGACAGCGCACAATTGAGGAACATAGAAAGTCAGAGAGACGATACAGAAATGAACTGTGAAGTCACGAAGAGTGAAAGCGACGTCGCGTTAAAAAAATTCGAGTGCGACCTTTGCGGAAAGCTCTTCAAGCAACGCAGCGGACTTACTGCTCACCAGAAAGAGGTTCACATCAAAGCCCTCAATTACACGTGCGACGAGTGTGGGATGCGCTTTGTCAAGAAATTCAAGTTGACGCGTCACATACGGCAAGCTCATTCTCAGGAATCGAAGCTGTTCTGTCCGCACTGCGAAGCAGGTTTTGGCGAGACGTACTTCCTGCGGGAGCATATCAGGGTCAGGCATGAGAACATGCGATACAGCTGCCAAGAATGCGGCAAGGAATACGAGTCTAGGTGCGGCCTAATATCGCACATGTCCTTGCACAGAAATGAAAAGTATCGTTGTGCGCTTTGCGAGAAAGTCTGCCCGAACAAGCAGCAATTGCGCAGACACAAATGCGTCAAAGTGAATACTTATCCTTGTAACAAGTGCGGTAAAGAGTTCACTGCAAAGAAACATATGGTAGCGCACAAAAGGACCACGATTGAATGTAACGAGAAACGAAGATACCATTGCCAGCGATGCGGTGAGCAGTTTACAGCCAAGACAAAGATAGCAAATCATATAAGACAGGAACATCAGCCTGATCCTAAAATTCCATACTGCAAATTAGAACATAATTATAGTAAGAGCAGTAAACAGGCTCAAAGTAGACCTGAGCCTATTCTGGATGAGTCGTTTCAAATGGGTGATACCGCACAAGAGATCAATACCATCGTTATAGATTCTGATGGTACCGATTGCGATTCCGATTTTTCCGTGTACGAACAATTAGTTTAAAAACGGGTTATATTTGAATTAACTATACCCAGTGACATTAGAAGGGTTAGACCCAGAAAAAATAATTCTTCAACTTATGTTTTTTCTGGCAACATGTCAACGTTTTATCTTTGATTTTGGTTAATTTTGTTAAAATGTTACCTCTTAGTTTTTGTGAATAAAGCAGTTTCTGAGAGCTGAGTAGTAAATATGTTTTTAGTTACTGCCCTTTTATTTACTAGTGTTAAGCATAACAAAATGCCTGGAGTTCGAAGACGTCCACAGTGTATTTGAAAGGAACGAAATTCGAATATCGTCGCTACCGTATGCGTCTTTTCTCACAACTTTTAATTTCATCGATTGCAAAAAAGTACTATACAGGGTGCTCCTTAATGATACGCGTATATTTAAGGGTGTGAATCTACATGAAATATTAATGTTAGTTTGCTTTATAAACTACGGTCCAAAAATGTTTCCTTACAAAAACTCGGGGTGTTGAAGTTTTAGGAAAAAAATGGAAATTAATTAATATTTTCAGAACCGCTACAGATGTTTCACTGATATTTAGTACGTAGTGAAAGTTTATAAATTTACATATACTAAGTGACATATAAATCCGAACACCCAGTTTAAATGGTTTTAAAATTTAGTATAAGTTCTTAATGAAGCATAATAAGTAAATGATAAAAATTTCAAAATGATTGCACTGCTTTAAAGCCCTTTGACCTTTAATAATGTGTGGATGCACCCTGATGTGCTACGCATTCTCCAACGCGCCTAGGCATGCTTCTGATCAGCTGGTCAATGTCCTCCTGTGGTATCTCATTCCAGGCAACCACCAACTCCTCTCGAAGTGCTTCTAGAGTCTGAGGAGGACGTTGCAAATTGAGCAATCTCCTACCCATCATATCCGACACGTGCTCAATTGGGGATAAGTCGGGAGATCTTGGTGGTCATGGTAACAATGTGACATCATTATGTTGAAAGAAGTCTATTGTAACATGTGGTCGGGCATTATCTTGTTGGAAAGTTGGATCTGTCAGGGTGTCAAGATAGGGTGAAAGATGTGGTTCTAGAACTTCGTGGATACAACGCTGCGCGTTCATGTTACCTCTTATGAAGATTAAAGGTGACCTGGAACCATAAGCTATAGCACCCCAAACCATAACTCCAACAGTGTGATGAACATGTCTGTCATCAAAAAACTGTGGATTCCTCCTTTCACCACGTCGCCTTCTAACCCTGGCACGACCATCGTGCATGCCTAAACAAAATCGAGACTCGCCACTAAAGACAATACTGTTCCATTCCTCATCCCAGAGTGACCGTTGTCTGCACCACTCAAGGCGATTACGTCGGTGTTATCGAGTTAAAGGGAGGACCCAGTGTGGCCGGTATGAAAACAAGCCAAAACTTCTCATTCGTCGGTAGACACTTCGCATTCCAATAGGTCTTCCGTGTTCTGCAAACCATTCATTTGCAATGGACCTGGTTGTGGAGAAACGGTCCCTTATGGCCAATAATCTTAGGCGGCGATCTTCACGGTCTGTTGTTCTACGGCGGCGTCCAGTGCCCCTTGCTCTTTGCGTACGGCCTTCTCGAAGCCATGCCTGACAACACCTAACCACAGTGTCTACACTTCTTTGCACTCTAACTGCAATTGCCCGAAAAGAAAGTCCAGCTTCCCGAAGTCCCACTATACGGCCCCTATCAAACTCACTAAGTTGACGAAATCGTACAGGTCTCCGTACTCTAGGCATCGTAACCGATCGTAAAGGATGTCAAGAACCAAAATCCGCCAACGTTGATTCTTTACTGCGGGTGAAATATTCATTTTTAGAGCGTTAGTGAATTAAAAAAAAGCAGTATAAAAACCGGAATGTCCAACTGATAAGGCTGAACATTTTTTCACTTGTTATTTACAGTAAGATAAATACATTAACCAACTTTTATTAAAATAAAACCATTTAAACTGGGTGTTCGGATTTATATGTCACTTAGTATATGTAAATTTATTAACTTTCACTACGTACTAAATATCAGTGAAATATCTAAACCGGTTCTGAAAGTATTAATTAATTTCCATTTTTTCCTAAAACTTCAACACCTCGTAGTTTTTCTAAGGACATATTTTTGGACCATAGTTTATAAACCAAACTAACATTAATTTTTCATGTAGACTCACACCCTTAAATATTCGCATATCATTAAGGAACACAAGGGAATAATACCAGTATTATAATTGTTATGAGAATAAAATTTTTGAATTTGAGTTAACGTTTTTTTTTTATTTCACCCCAGTATGATATTTAGGGCCCAAATTCAACGGATCTCAAGGTAATACGCGAATATGGAATTTTGTGCTGCTTCATTTTCCAGCATATCTACCAGGTAACTCTAAAACCTTTTGTTCGAGATTAACTAATCTTGATATAATCTTATTTTTTGTCGTTGTCACTTGTTATTTTTTAGAACGACGCCTGAGTTTTTGGAGATACCCGTCGAAGTGAAGATCGAAGAGGGTAATACAGAGGAGCTTAAGTGTACAAAGTGCACGAAGGTCTTCCAAAATAAGAGACAAATATACTACCATAAATTTGTCCATGCTCCTAAGATACATCCGTGCGATATATGCGGGAAGAAATTCAAGAGACGACACGAAGTCAAAGTCCACAAAAAACTACACATCGAGGTGCACGAGAGAAACTTCAAATGCGAAGCGTGCGACAGTCGATTCAAGAACAAGAACGCTCTGATAGTTCACGAGAAATCCGTACATTCGAAGGATTTCGACGTGTGGTGTGAAGAATGCGGAATGGGCTTCATTTCGGCGTGCGCACTCCGCGAACATCAGAGGATCAAACACGAGAAAATGCGATACAATTGCAACGAATGCGATAAGCAATTCGAAAGCAAGAGAGGTCTGACTTTTCACATGGATAAACATAGAGATGCTCAGTATAACTGCCAGTTTTGTGATAAAGTATTCAAGTTTAGATGGCTCATCTACAGGCATGAATGCAGCCAGGAGAAGGAAAAGAAGAAGCACGTTTGCGAAAGGTATGCAGAAATAATATGAAACGTGAATATTATAGTAAATGTCTGTGCTCACTATACCGTATTTAGGGACGTACCTTTTACCAAATTCATGCAACATTCTAACGACTCTACCTTGAAAGAAACATACACGCAAGTCAGAATATAACAACGAGCTGAAATTAAAGATACAAGAATATCGTTAATAACAAAATTCAACTAGCGAGTAATCCTGCAAGATAAGTGCGGAGTATTGTGAACAGCCAAACGAGAAGAATAAAAAACAAACAATAATGCATATAAACACAAGCGATGGGACTCAGCCAAAATTCCAAATTGTTTTTGTGAATACTTTGCAATCATAGCTGAAAAGACAACTACCACAGAATACGCAAATATTTGTACTATTCTGCTCTCGCCAACTGGTTTCCTCACAAAAACTAAGACAACATTTTAACAAAGGTAAACAAAAACAAAGACAAAACTTTGACATTGCTGCCACAGCATGTTTTAAATATAGTCATTATGTTGAAAAAAAAACAAGTTGACATTATTTTTTCTGGGTGTTACACTTCTAATGTCACCCAGTATAATTTTCGGTATAACAAGGTCGCTGATTCCAACCCTGGGGTTATTTTGTATCTATGAGGGCTTTTGAAGGTCACTCGAGGTAATTTCAAGGTCATACCAAGGACATTTCCAAAACGAAAGGATTTAAATGTATGATCCAAGTTTGATACGGTTTAGTGACACAGACCTTGACGCGCCACAGTATAAAGTACGGATTTCGTAATGTTACAGATGCGGCATGGAGGTGTCTTCAAAACAGTCTTTGCAGAAACACATGAATTCGCACGATGGAATAAAACTGTATAAATGTGACGTTTGCGGTAAAGATTTGGCCTCTTCTGGCAATTTGTCGGTTCACAAGAGGATTCATACAGAGGAAAAACCTTACGTTTGTACTTTTTGCAACAAGCGGTTCAGACAAAAACCACCGTTGACCCTCCATATGAGGATTCATACCGGCGAGCTGCCGTATCGCTGCGAAATTTGCTCGAGAAACTTTATTAGTAAAGCTGCTATGAAGAATCACAGTTGTACCGGACCGAAGAACCAATATGATTCAGATACATCAGAAAGTGAATAAACTGTTTCAAATTACGGCAGCGGAAGTGTTATCTATTACCAGAATCGACCACTGCGAAATTGAAAGTGATTCTGGTAATAGATGCTGCTTGTCTAATTTTGATATACCTCTGATGGAGGTTACTTTTACTCTGCTTTCATTTGCTGTCCTACCTAGAAACCTAGACCGTGCTGATGATTGCCAATAAGCATGCAACAACGCCCTCTGTTGATCGGACGGACGAAAGCAAATAAAACCTTTTTTTTGTACAAGTTTCATCAATAAATACTTCATAACTTGGAAACAAACGTTGTCTCTTCAACCTTAATGACGAACTAGGTCACTTACAAGTTTGGCTTCTGAAGGTCATGGCGCTTAACGAAATCAGACATAACTTATGCTGAAATGGTTTTCTGAATTTGATCTTGAAATGTATATGAAACTCCAAAACAATTTTTTTCCAGCTGCGCCAATGTTGCATAGTGGTGAAATGCATTGAGAAAGGAATTTTGATTTGTCTGTGTCCTTGAACAACCTTGGAATAACCTTGATCCTAGTTTGTCTGTTGGACTGAATGTATCCTTGAGTGATTTATCGCATGTTGACCTTGATCCTAGTTCACATTGTATCGTGACCTTGATCTCAGTTCATATTTTGGTGTCTCTGTGGTCTTGCTTGATTTTTCATGTTGACCTTCAGAAGGTCTTAGATCATATTTTGGTCTGTCTGGGTTCTTGGGTGGTTTTTCGCATTTTGACCATGACACAATCTTGATCCAAGTTCATATTTTGACATGTCTGTGCTTTTGCATGTTTTCGTTGCACTTATTAACCTTAACTTGACCTTTGCCATAGTTCATATTTTGGCCTGTCCAAGTACTAGGTACGTAAATTTTCATATATTGACCTTGACATCACCTTGATCTATGTTCATATTTTGGTATGTC